ATTAATTTATAAGTAAAGGACTATTTTCTGTATTGTTTCAAAATTTTAGGTTCCGTTTGTCATTCGGACGTACGCAAAAATGATTTAGAAAACGCCTATTTTGAATTTCGCATTTCGAAAAAGTATTATATTTAGGTATAAATTTTTCGCTGAAATCAAATGTATTTTTCTCTTTCACTAGAAAACGACGTTTCTTTATTGCAGTAGATACTGCAATATTCTGCTTCATATTTTCATGCTAAATATATGCTTTTGATATGTATTTCTTCCCATACATGAGCAACTGCGTTTTTGTTTTCACTATTTTAAAATTTAAATGTGGAAGTATTCAACTCCAACTACACTGCAAGCCAATTTCATTGTTATCTTTTTTTAAATGTCACCCTTGCACACACGGTACTTTTAACGTGCATCATGCGTTCATTGTGTATAAAATTTTATTTTTATTGTTATAAATTACATTAGTTCAGAAAAACAACACCCATGATTCATTCCGATTAACTTTGAGAGCAATTTGAAATAATATGGTAAAAGAAATAGAATAGAGAATCTGGAACAAGTTGCTTATTTAGGAAGTTGGATAAATCAGGCTGAAAAATAGAATAGAAACATCAAACAAGGTTCTACTCGCAAACAGTTATGTCAGTAGGAAAAAGAAAATACTGAATGGTGGAACCAGGAAGACTAGAGGTAGAATCTTCTTGCCCTTAGGTAGTACATGAAGGGCTAATTAGAGACATTAGAAGTTGACAAAAGAGTAAAGAGAGACATTGTCCGTTTACATAGAGAAAGGTACAGCGTGGGTGAAGTGTACGGTCGTTTACCGTCAGATGTTTCGGATTAAAACGCGGAAATTGAATCGAGTTAGGTTAAGTTAGCTTAAATTAGATTAGAGCTTGAAGATGCCGAATGGCAAAATATCTGTCGCAAATACAAAATATTAAACAACTATAAGGCATCCAACATAACATTATGAATTACGAATTTGATCATACCCCAGCTAAACTTTTATTACATTCAATAGAATGGTACTTACAATTAGATACAGGACATTATAATGTTGAAACCATTATAACCAGCGTAACAACACTATTCATTTAAATTAGTAATGATAAGTTTTAAAATAAATCTAAATTTAAATTCGTCCAATTATAGGCGAATAGCGTGACAATTAAAACGCATATACACATCAAACAGAAGTCGATGTTTGAAAGTTTGGTAATTATGCAATAAATTGTTTTTACACATAAATTATAGAGGTAGGTAGGTTTATTCACTGTGTACACATCTGCCTTTACTATTACCTGTAATAAAAGCTGCATTTCAATGTCATAATTTATTTCGGACATTGTCTTCCTAAATTGACCGCCCACAGTTGCTGTTTATTTTGTTTCTGTCGTTGTTTATCTTTTACCTAATACGTCTCTTTTTCCTTTTATTGTGGCATAAAGGTCTAAGAAAGAATTTTCATATTTGTAAAGTTTAAAAGCGTCTTTTCCTTATCTAAAATTCATTTATAAAGAATTTACGTAATAAAATTCTTTAGGGTAGGTAAATATTAGAGGAAATAAGAATTTAAAAAGCAGCTAACTTTCCAACTTTCATTCATTTGAAGAGACAGCATTCAGCCATCTTAAAATTTCTTTGACGAATTACAATCGCCAATTAAAACAGTATTTGAAACCACTTTCATCTAAATTAAATGACTTATAAACCCTTTCGACATCATGGACTTCGAAAAGTCAAAGGAAATTAATTGCATTTTTCATCTTGCTGATTTCTAAACTTTCTTTTGTAAATAGAATTTTTCATAAAATTAATGTATTTCGCCTTTTTGTTAACATTTCGTTCTAGTATTTTATTGGTCCTTCTCAAACGAATGACAAATTTAATGATGCCGACTTTTAATTGCAAAAGTTTAGAAATTTGCTACGGGCAGCTGTTCCGGTTTTGAACTTAATGAAAAAAATTGTTAACATTGCGAATCTGTATTAAAAATCAGTCGCGCAATTTTTCTTCAGTTGTCCGTTGAAGTTACCTCAAAATATACCTCTGTCGGTACATTTTAATAAATTCTCTTCCTTGAAAACATTCCATTGTATCCTGTTATAAACATGTATGTACATATTTCTTATATTTAGAAATACTTCTACTGTAATAACCACAACTTAGTTTGAAGAAAAATGAGATTTTTTAAACAAGAAATATTTCCAGTTAGAACGTCATACTTTATAATGTTGAACGTAAACAATAGAAGGTGAATTTGATAATACTAATCGACTAAATGATACCACTTTCTATAGATTCAGAAATAAGATTAAATTGTCCAAATATTAAAAATTAGACCTGATACGCAAATTTTGATATAGCAGTATTAGCATCTAGCAAGGACGACCTAGAGATAGCTTGGTTGGTACGACACCTTCTCAGGCATGAAGGTCTAGTCAGAGACATATTAGAGGCAGAAACAGGAGTTAGGAGGGCTAGAGGTAGACCTAGATTAGATTACTGTTCGCAAATAGTTAAGGATGTGGGCTGTTCTAGTTTTTAGGAAAATGCGAAGTTTAGCTCAGGATAGGAAAGAGTGGAGGTACGTGTCCAACCAGTCTTAGGACTGATGACCTTATGATGATGACAAAAATTTTGTTATCCTATCAATGAAGACAATGGAGACACATTTTCGAAATTGTGAGCTCAGTATTGTTTCCTTTTATACAGGAAATTCTGTTAGAATGTGGCTATATGTATGTGGCTATAGATAATTAAATCGAACACTTGTCTTAGTAGATTTAACTAATGTCGAGAATCTGAATTTTATCTGTAACCACATTTATTTAGAAATAATGCCAAAGAAATTTTAGCAATGAATCTATTATCCATTCTACCACTAATATTAATTCGGTGTAAAATCAAAGCCAAACCAAGTTTAAATTTATTTATTTTTTTTTAAGTTAAAGAAAAAGTAAACCATATGGACTCACTAATTTGTTACAGGATATGCTCAATGAAACGTAACCACATTAATTAATTAATTCATTGTACATATAAATAAAACTTAGCTAGTATCACCACGTGGTATTTAATTTATTTATTTATTTATTTATTACTTTAATCGACGCTGTTATAATAATTTTGAATGTTAGCTAGTTATTTATGTTCTTATTTATATAACGAATTAATCGATATGATTATTAATGAATATGTACTGTTACAAATGGTCGACTTCATCTGGTCTAATTTTCCTGTAATTAAAAAAATATCCTTGAAGAAATCCCACAACTTGAACGAAGGATCGCCTATTGTTTTTGAATAATAAATAACTTTAAGCCCTTAAGTTGGCTTTGATTTTACACTGTCTCTATTGCAATTGCATTTATTAGTATTCCAAGCGACATTTTATAGCAGATTTTAATCATATTTGGGCTTTAACTTACCCAAATATTGCGTGAAAGAAATACTTGGCAGAATAACGAGACCGATTGCAAGTTCGACAACATAAACCACGTTGCACCCGCGTGCCATCATGAGCGCAATGCCGCACTTGGACGCTATGAAGAACCCGCCACGGGCACATGCCAACTAACTCCAGCGTCGGGACGCTCTATTATTATACGACGCTATGAAAACGCCTGCGTAAGAACTACAACCACCAAACAGAACACCGTAGGTACCGATGGCAATATGTCGACGAATCCAATCAATTTCGCGGGCTTTTCTTCACTTACCACTAGTGTCTGCTGGTAGTTTTCCTTTAAGGCCATCTGGTCAAGGAATGACCAAATCTGACCGCCAATAAGCAACTGCATTTTTACAATAATTATAACTCACCAGTAAAGGGCAAACATTTTTCGTAAATGAGTCTGATAGCTTTCTTGTTTATTTATTTTAATTAAAACGCGAACACCGACACCTCGATAACCTTTTGAGACGCGCCGAGCTAGGTGTCATGAATTAAATTTAATGATTAGAACGTCTAATAAAAGAAGGAAAACTAGGTAATTGATAATTACAATTCTTTTGACGTGTCGAACTTACTTAGGTTACGGTATAATACGAAAATGCAAAACGGAGCGGCATGTCTTAGAAGTTTAGACCATTGCTTGGTATTCGGAAGGGCATCGTTTCGGTTCCGGGTTCGTTTGCCCTGCCTCAAGCTTCTCTGTGGTTACCTTCGATATTACTTTAGCAAATGCTGAATTAGTAGATAATATTCCACAGATAATCATTCACTCTCTTCCGTCTTCATTTCCTCCGTCTCATTTTTCTCACCACCACTACCACCACCTATCCATTCCAATGATTCTTAAAAAGAGGCTGAAGAAAATTCCGCCCTATTCTCCGACGTAGTCCGGAAGGACTGCCCGCACACCAGCTTCTGTTGCTAGTAATAATGAAATATCAGTAACAACCGCAGCCTACCGCCCAAATTCGGGCGAGTAGTACTAAGAAGTGCCTTAAAAGACAACAGTTTCTTGTTAATTATTTATTTTGTATGAAATTATTTAGTACTCAAATTTTACTATAGGCAAGTTATACTAAATAAACGATAACTTAGTTGCCTTTTAACTCTCAGTAGTGTTTACATTGCTGGTAATGGTTGCAACGTCATTAATTTTGCCATTTTTAGAAGATATCTTTATAATCATCCCAAATAAATCGCATAACCAAATGTAAACATGTGTACAGAACTTCCGCAGTCACAGAAGCAGATGCAGAGGTCTGTTGTAACACTGCTACCAATGTCCGTCAAAACTACATTTTTGTCGACCACCCCCATTGCCACCCCCTTTAGGTTAGTCCTAGGCGCCACGCCACTACCGTTTGCCACATAATCTTTCACCGACTCTAGACATTTAAATTTTATGAGCCAGAATACAAACAATGGGGGAAAATGTCAATAAAGGCTGTTTCAAACAAACAATACTTAATAAAATTTCTTGTTTAAGGATGGTTCCTGTTCGCAACAATGGAAGGGACGATATGTCAAATAATGTCTCCAGTGAATAAACACTCTTAAAGGGCATTACTTTGTAAAAATGTTTTCGAAACACTATTAACAAGTTGTGATATTATTCACAAGTAATTAGAAGTTAGAAACTGTTGAAGATTTCGAAAAACTTTTTTCTTTCATTTAAAGCTCTTTTTCCCGTATACGCAATCTTTGTTTGTTGCCGATTTTAAATTTACTTTTTTCTATTAAAAGATTAAATTATTCAATCCATTCCCTTTAAGATTTCTCAGTTCAGTTTCCTCTTGTTTGCTTGTTGTTTACAAAACAATAGGCTAACTTTATTTATAATGAAATGAGTATCACTTTCAAGACGAATAAATTTTGGCAAATTGGAGTCTCGGCTAGTATTTTAATGAAATTGGAACGGAAACTTCGTATAAACAACAAAAAATGTTATAGATTTAAAAAGAAAACTGGAATTGTTGTGGAATGGACTTATAAAAGCTACAAAGTTATTTCTCTTGTTTATTTGATGTACTCAACATGATCCGTTTTATATATACGAAAAATGTATTTATACAGTAATTTATGTAACAACCGTACGTCTAGTGAAGGCAGAAAAGAATAATTATTATTTATTTGAACAGTTTCATTATTCGAAGCCAGTTGTTCTTCGTTCAACAAGAGTAAGTACTTGAGGAGTCTCGACCTCTTCAGTGTTTATTTGCTGAAAACATTCATTTATAATGATTAAATTCCTGTTGAATTAAAATTAAATTGTACTATTTATCTTTGACTTATTAATTTGCTAACGGATAAAGAGAATCAGAGTTTTACGATTTGCTGTAGTAATTCGAATAAAAGGAAGAGAACTGGAGTGGGGGGGCATATTTTAGAAGACTTAATTCTTTTATTTAAAACACACTGGGCTCATTCAGTTATTTTTATCTTTCTGATATCACTGCATCTAATACAGTGCACAGGTATTGCTTTTGTACACGTGGAACTTCTTCCTTTCCTTTCGAATCATGCAGAGCCTTTTGTTCAGATTCTGAAGAAGAAAGAAAGGCCGTTCTCTGTTTTATAAATCGACTTTTACAGCCAAGGTTCTTAGCCTTTTGTTGCTTTAAAGCACATTTACCCGAAGACAAACCCTTACTTGCGCGCTTTCTAATGGAGAGAGAGAGAAAAGAGCGATGTTGAGCATATTCGACGCATGTCTATCTGTCATTAACAGTAGATGTCCTGCAGATTTTTTTGGAAAATAGTGTGTTTTCAATTTCAACAATTCAAAATGATACGAATGAAGTCACTTACTCACGTCACTGGGATGTTAAAAGCAGCTTTGAACGGCTTTGGTTTTAGAAATTCAAAAAAGCTTGTTAAAGGTGTATGTTTGGAGCGGGACGCTGTACGGGAGCGAAACATGGACAGTGGGCGCTGCGGAAAAGAAAAAGAAACGTTGTAAGTGTGGTGGAACAGGCGAATGACGTGGATAGAGAAGGTTAGAAATGAAGAGATATTAGAAAGAATAGGAGAACAGAGGACTCTATGGAAGCCAATAAGAAATAAGCGAGACAGATTGGTAGGACACCTTTTCAGCCATGAAAGTCTAGTCAGAGACATATTAGAGGCAGAAACGGAAGTTAGGAGGGGTAGAGGTAGACCTAGATTAGATTATTGTTTTCGCAAATAGTTAAGGATGTCGGTTGTTCTAGTTTTATGGAAATGGGAAGATTAGCTCAGGATAGGAAAGAGTGGGGGTGGGTATCTAACCAGTCTTAGGACTGACGACGTCATGATGTTGAATTATAAAAGAACTGCTGATGCGATGATATACATATCTCACCCCGTTACACATAAGTACCTTCCATCGGCTTCAAAATGCCATGTATTTTCTTATATAAGTTCATTTTCTGTCCACTTTTACCCTCTCCGCCCTAGTCTGACGTCAGGGTCGTCACCAATGTATTTGAAGAATAATTAAACAGTAGTAATTTCTTTGTTCCCATTCGCTCTATGAGGTACACTTGCAATTAAGTTTTTTCTATAGTAGATGACGCAAGCTTCACATTGAGCTACTTCCTAATATTTTAGAACTTCCTGTTCAACTATTGAGTATACACAGTTTAAAACATCTCAAAAGGAATATGGAAAATATATGCATGCGAACAACTGCATATATTGCAAAAATTTGTCTTTCCAATAATGTAATTGAAATCTATGAAGCGTAATACGAAGAAAATTTATTGTAAATATTTCCTTCGCTGACTGTTTTCTTTATAAGTACCTATGTATAGATATTCTTCGGCTATTTTAAAGTTCAAAATAAAAGAACACGTAGCTCTAAGGTAGCGCTAATAAGAGAGTTTTCTGTATAAAGTGTAAACAGTCTAACTGCATCTCTGCAAAAGCAAATATTAGGTTCTGTTTCAGTTCTCATTACTGAAAACTCTTGTTACATTCGCTTTTATAATTGCTTCTTAATCTCCGCGTATTTGTTTTAGTAATGTTGTTATCGAAGACCTGAGTCTTCACATTGGCTTTGTAATACGTTTGTTGAATGAAATAATTTGTAATTAGTCAAGTAACTTGGATACCTGCTTATACTTACTTAAATCCTATTAAATTTCCGAATTTCTAATGAATTCTAATTAGTTATACACACAGGATCTTAAGGTTTCATTACCAGATGTTTGTCGTTGTTCGATAATAAACTTTTGATCAGAAATAATTAACAATAAGCTTACAGTAAACCGTATATGTACATAGGTATTAATTTATTTTAATTTAATTAAAGTACGATTTCTCATTTATCTCGTTTTCAATCAATTGTATTAGTTCATGGTTAAGCAGCCGCGATCTTGAGGCTATACACACATGAAAAAGAGACAAACAACAATATCGACACTAATGTCTAAGACATTTACTTATGTTTGTAAAATATCATTAAGTAGCAGGTAGTTTAAGACCGGTGTCATACGGTCAAATTCGCCGCGCGATGTCGCTGGCGTTAATCGTGTGCCTATTCTCGTCCGCCATTTTGGATCCATTTGATGGAAATCAAGATACTAAATATAAACATCAACTGAGCTATATCTACTACATCTACAGTTACGACGATGCTAAAGAATGGCATGACAGTGGTAGGATTTGTTTCGATTCCCCGCTAAGCAGTGGCTCGCTTGTACAGGGTGTCATCGTGAAGCCAGAGTATAATTACATTTTGCATTTAAACACTTCATTAAAGCTATTGAACCGTCCTCGTAGGTATATTGCAGTTTAGCTCACATAAAGTTAATTTACTATGACCCGAAAAAATATCTGTATTTCAGGCAGATCAAAGGAATGAACGCATTGTATAAAATCTTTATACTGCGAAAATGTGACACTTTCTTGCCTTTAAAACAAGAATTTGCAATCATGTGCCGTTCAAACTGAAAGTGAACTGATAGAATCAATTCAGTAACAGTCATTAACGGGTAACTAATCAATGACCATGGAACTTTAGTCGAATTGGAAGGAAAAGCTTTGTTCTTGCAAGCACTTTGTTCGGAAGGATAGATTCGTGAAATGTCTTAGTCCTGATGTCAATCGTG